GAGTATGCCAGACTAGTTGACTGAAGAGTCTGTAAGAATTCTCCTGTCTCTGCCTCCCATTTCTCAGTATGGGTGTGTTGGGATTGCAGATACCTGCCCTACTGCATCCAGCTTGCGTGTCGGTTCTGGGGGTCCCAACTCAATTCATCAGGCTTATGTAATATTGAGATGAGGCTATTCCCTACTCTAAGTTACTCCATGTGGTATACAACAGTGGTTTATCAGTCTGTGTGATGCCCCAAGAGACTCCATTTTCAAGCAGACTTCTACTCTGTTTTGAGAAAGAATGACTGCAACCCCTGTTAGACCCACAAGCCATACATCTGCCAGGTACCCTCCCATCCAACACTGACTGATAGATGACTGGAAGTAAAGGGAAACCACCCTCTGCATTTATTGGAGTGAACTGAGAGACATATGAGTATATTGAAATCCTATCAGGGAAACCAGACCTAAGAATTTATTTGACACACCAGAGCAAAAAATAAAAAGTTATACCAGAGTATGACACCATTGAATGGATACCTTAAAGTGGCAGATCCCTAACATTTTGATTGTATGTTGTCACACCAACCTATCACCTAATGACTAGTATGTACACGGAGGATCAACAAGCAGAAAACTCCCCAACTGTCCCTGGAGCTTCAGCTCCACTAGGGACCCCTCTGTTGACTCAGCCTAATCAGCTGCCTGCCCATCCACTCATTTGAGCCTAGACCTGAAACAGCACATGCTGGTTTTTGTCAAGAGTCACTTAGGTAGAAGGAACCTTCACTGAGAATATGATGCCACCAACAGATTGCCTGCAGGCAGATTAGTGATCAATGAAGGGGTCCCTGCCACTGTGGGGGAGGGTACACTGAAGCAGGTGGTCTTCCGTGGTAAAAGAAACCAAGTTGAGTAAGCCATAGGGAGCACGGAGTGAGCACTGTTCCTTCTCTGTGGCCTCTGCTGCAGCTCTGCCTCCAGGTTCCTGCTCTGACTTCTCTTCATGATGAACTGGAAGCTACGAGATGAAATAAACACTTTTCTCTCCAAGTTGCTTTTGGTCATGGCCTTTATCGCAGCAATAGAAACCAAAGTTCAAACTAGGATACTGCAGTTTCCTGCTCTCAGACCCAGGTTAAGGTTCTTACCACACAGCTGAACTCTGCAGCCTTGCTCTCAGACCCTGACTTGAGCCACCTCCCAGCACTGATCTGGCTTGCAGCTTATCAATAGATTCCCACAGCCTACTTCTGAAAGTTTTCGTACACTCCTGCAGCCTCTTTAACTTGTATTAATTCTGTAAACTACATATATGCATACATATATACTTACCATGTGTGATGTGTGAGATGAGAGGTAATTAAGATTGGAATAAAAGAACCTACGTTGACCTCAGCCAGGTTATCAGGATAACCTTAAAGCTGCTGTCAGAAACCTCTGGGTCTTGAGAATGTATTGCTCTTCAAAAAAACAGTAATACTGTAGAAAGACACAAACATGTTCCTCTGTGTCTCTAACTAGTATGCTCACAACATACAGCAAGTGTTTTTACCCAATCAGCCCTCGGGTTAAATATTAAAAGAATTAGCTTTTTAAAAGAAGGATGGTGGCACATGCCTTCAAATCCAGCACTTAGGAGGCTGACCTGGGACAATTGAGAATTTGAGACTGACCTAGACTATACAGCAAGTTCAAGATCAGCCATGGGATCCACATTATGAGACCCTGGTGTTCACATACATGCATGTGCACAAACATGTGATAGTAGATAGATGGATGGATGGATAGATAGATAGATAGATAGATAGATAGATAGATAGATAAAGTTTTTTCATTGAGTTCTGATGTGGTCCTTTTCAAAGAGGGCAGGGAGTAAAAACAGAATGAATGAAAGGGCCTGGGAAGTTGAGAGTGCCCCCAAATCAAACCTTTAAATTTAATACCCATCAGAACAGCATTCTGGAATGATTGTCACCCGACTTTAGATTTTGACACTTCATCCATGTGTTCAGTTCTCCCACACTCTATTATACAAGAGGCCAGAGTGACTAAAGGGGAAAGCAATCTCCCCAGGATCAGCATCTGATGCACAGAAATAGGCCTGCCTCCCCGCTGAAACTATTCCCCAGGGTCCTATTGTTCTAGTCTCTCCCTTAACGTTGGAAAATCTAATTCCAAACAAATGTGAACAAAACACTAATAAGTTATGCAGCTGAAGATGTTTAGGGCTAAGCCCCTTAAGCTTTTTTTGGAGTAATATTTGATCTCTTGACATAAATCTATTGCTATTGTGGGTTATATACATATGCAAAGCTCCCTCAAAATAAGTCAAAACTAGACTGATTACATTCCTGATAGACTAGGTGTGACTCGTCAGGAACTCTGAGGCTTTGATGAAATCTATCCAATGTAGTGTGGAATAGTGATCAGTAAAGGCAAGAAAGGAGAAATGGGGGCTGGGAGATGGCTCCATGGGTAAAAGAGCTTATTACATAAGCATGAAAACCTGAGTTCTAATCTTCTATACCTGTGTAAGAAGCTAAACAGGGTCATGCAAACTCATAATTCACAGTGTTGGGAGGGGGCACAGATAGAAGAAGGTCATTCAGGCTTGCTAGCTGCCAGTCTAGGTCCAAGTTCAATGAGAGAGGCTGCCGCAAGTGAATAATGAGAGGACACAGTAAGACATTCAAACATATATACATACATACACACAAGCACACACTAATGCTCACAAAGGAAAACAGGGCTAGAGAGAGCTCAGGTGGTAAAGTGTTTATGAACTCAGGATGACATGAACATGCTCCCCCAGAACCCACATAAAAAAGCTAGGCATGGTGGCACACCTCTCTAATCCCAGCAAGGCAGAGCCAGAGATGGCAAGGACCCCTGGGGCTGGATGGCCAGCCAACCTAGCCTGCTGGGTGAGCTCCAGATCAACAAAAGACTCTTGTGGGAAAATAAAAGCGGAGTAGATGGTGCCCTGCAGTGACTTAAATGAGAATGATTCCCCACAGGTTCATGTGTTTGAACACTTGATTCCCAGCTGGTGGAAATGTTTAAAAGGGATTAAGAGGTGTGGTTTTGTTGGAGGAAGTGTATCACTAGGGGCAGGCTCTGCTGAAGGAAGTGTATCACTAGGAGCAGGCTTTGAGGTTTCAAAAGACTGGCACTATTTCCAGTTGTCTCCGTCTCCTGCTTTTGGATCATGATAACTACCACCTGTTCTTCCCACCACGCCTTTCCCTCACCATCATGGGCTCGGACACCCAGGAACTATAAATTTAATCAAATGCTTTCTTTTGTAAGTTGCCTCAGTCATGGTGTTTTGTCACAGTAATAGAAAACTAATACTGGGTCTGAGGAACAAAACCAGAAGTCTCCTGCCTCTACGTATCTGCATATACATATGCAAAGGTGCCAGCACACACATGCATCTGCACACACAAACAGGGAGGAGGGGAAGAGGAGAAAACAAAGCAGGCTCTTGGTACAGTGCTGTAACAAAACACAGGACAAGGAGACCCTAGACTGCTGTCAGTGGAGGAGAAAACATGAATGACTTCTTTTGTCTGGACAGCTTTGCCCATCACAGGAACAGCATCTCTGAGAAAACGAGAGCAAGGTTCTGGAGCCAGGAATCCCAGGGCTGAAGATGATGATGTTTATTGGAACAAGGCAGCTACCCCAGACTAAGCCACCAGAAAAGACGAGTCACGCCTCTCAAACCCTCCACACATGGACAGAAAGAATGGAGCCACCAAATACAGCTGGATGATTCTTTAAACCATAAATAGGACCACCACTTGATTTGCTATCCAAATCTGACCTGTCTCCGGAAAGTGCTCACTTAACTTCAAATCTACTTTGGATAGAGAGTGATAGGCCAGCAGCCCACAGGCCTGGTCTGACTTACTCTCTCGTCTCATCAATGCCATCATGGCACTGTCATTGTTTGGGGGAAGTGACAACCGCTAGATTTCCCTCTAACTTGCATTTGGCTCAGATCGGAAGATGTCTTTATATTTCCACATTCAAAGTAATCTTAACTTTTACTACAGCCACTTGCTCTACCTTGTAAAGTTTTAAAGGGAGTATAACTTTAAAATTCATGGAATGGAGGATGGAGAGTAGAGTGGGCTCAGCAGCTAAGAGCCCTTCTTGCTCTTCCAGAGGACCTGGGTTTGAGCGCTAGGACCCACATGGCAGCTCACAACCATCCTTAACTCCAGTTCCTGGGGAATCAACACCTGCTTCTAACTCCCCCAGTCATCAGGCATGCACATGGTGTACATGCATGCAGGGGGAAAAATCCACACACACAAAATAAATCTAAAAGAAAAATGTAAGCATGGAATGCTAGCTCTGGGAGTTCTCTTCTTTCCTTTGCTTCCAAGACTATTCCTTAGAGCAGTGGTTCTCAAACTTCCTAATGCTGTGACCCTTTAATACAGGTCCTCATGTTGTGGTGACCCCCAACCATAAAGTTATTCCATTGCTCCTCCATGACTGTAATTTTGCTGCATTTATAAGTCATAATGTAAATTTCTAATATACAGGATATCTGATATGCAACCCCAAAGGAGTCATGACCCACAAGTTGACAACCATGCCTTATAGCAGTGGTTGTATCAGTAACAACCACTGTCAGTCACAAGAATAGCCACAGTGGCTTGCAGGCATTGAACACTTACTCAAGCACTATGCCAAGAGACTTACAAATTTAAACCAAATGAGTGCAATATGGATATGACTTTTGTCTTCCTTTTTGCAAAAGGGGAACCTGACACAGACATATGTATCTTCCTCCCATCTTGTTCCTTCTTTGTGAAGAACTCCTTTTCAAACACTAAACCTGGGGCATCCAAAGCCTATGGGCATCATTCTCAGCTGAGAGGAAGGTGGGAGGATAAATAATTTAGAAGAGGATTCTCAAACCCTTTGATCATGAGGCGCCTAGAAGGTATGATTACACGCTTGCTTTGCTTAGGCACAGGATCTACCGCTCTTACCCTGTTGTCTTCTTGGATCTCCCAGTCACTTGAGGTCATCAGCTGCTGCCCTTGGGAACAGTTAGCAAACTGGAAGAGGCTGGAAAACATCCTTCTGTTTTCTTGTGTGTCTGGAAAGATGGCATCTTGGAAATTGACTCCATGGGGCAAGAGGTTGTAATTTTCATCCATCCTGAGGGGGAGAGGTCAAAGCAGAGATATAGGAGAGGTTACTGGAGGTGGGCCAACTTCAGGCCAGATTACAAAGGCCAGAGATAATCTTGCTAATTTCATCACGAAGTCTGCAATGGTTCCCAGGAAGAGATCCCTACAGTTAGCAAGTCTAACTGTTTTCCACTGTATAATACTTGAGTCTAACCTTAAGGTTTTCTTAAGAATAGAATCTAGAAAGGTGGAAGGAAGATGTGTGCTTGTATGCCTGTCTGACTATTTCCCAAGGCCCCCAGGACCTTCCATCTCATAGTGTTCCTTACTCCTTGGTGAGAAGGAAGCCAGTTGTAATGTGACCTAGATTCAAGCCTCACTGCTACATACAAGTCTCAAAATTTCTTCTTTAAGCACCATCGTCTTCTCTAAGAGGATTACAGTAGAACCTACTTCCTTGATGTTATCATGGAGATGCATTGGAAAAAATGTAAACACAGCTGGAGATGTGGCTCAGTGCTAAGTCCTGGTAAAGTGTGAGGACCTCAATTTGAATTCCTAGCACCCACATAAAAAGCCAGTCATGGCTGTGCATGCTGGTAACACCAGCACTGGAGGGCAGGGACAGACTGATCCTGAGAGCCTTCTAGCCCAGGCTAGCCCAAACTGCGAGCTTCCAAGGCAATGAGAGACCCTGTATCAAGACAATAAAGTGGAGGGCGATAGAGGACAGCATCTCCTGTAGGGAGCCGTCCCTGCATTCTCCATTACAAGACCATTACAAGATGGCGCCTGCATCCGGCAGGCACATGCAGGCACCGAATGGTAAACAAGCTAGTGCGCAGGCGCTGGGTAACTTTCCATCCCTTGGGCTCTGCCTCTCCCGTGGCATCATATGGGCCGATGGGCTGCAGCCAATCAGGAGGTGACACGTCCGAGGCGATGGTTGTAAACCTATATAAGGGTTGGGTTTTGGATGTTTGGCGTCTCCACTCTGTAAGCTTATGCTCTCCCTCTCAAGATGCATTAAAGCTTTACTGCAGAAGGATCCTGAGTGTGCCGCGTAGTTCTTGCTGGCGAGACGGTAGCACGGGACAATCTCCCTCTGGCCTCTGCATGTGCACACACTCCTGTGCATGCACCACATACATACACATACATGCTCATCCAACACATACAAATATAATGAAGCACTTGACACATCGTGAATGCAAGTATATAAATATTAGTGAACATGTTTATATGTGTTGGTGTGAAGTGATTTTTAGAAACAGAAGTCAGAAAAAAAAGAAAACGAGGTGAGAATTTTAACCTAAGTTTTCCAGTTTGAGTTTGAAATGCTCCCCCTCCTCTCAGTTTCATGGGCTCAACCTTGGTACCCAACTAGGGAGGGAGGCTGTCAAAGTTGCAGAAGGAAATAAGTCACCAGGAGTATGTCTTTGTGTCTATATACTGCCATGGCCCTTCCTGTATTCCTTCTCTGCTTCCTGTTTGCCATGAGGTGAACAGACTGTGCTCTGTGCACCACCGTATAACCATCTGCCCAAGCGTCCAGAGCCACATGGCGATGGAATGAGCCCTCTGAAATGAACCAAAATAAACCCTCCCCTACTTTCCATTTATCAGTCACAGTGAGTGAGCAAGAGATGGGGAGAAGAGGCCAGAACAACAGAGGGGGAACGCTTTGTGTGCCATTATTAGCAAGGCAAGACAGCCCTATGAAGACAGTCTGTCACAGTATCATGTTTCTGTTGGTCTGTCTTAACTTTCTTTAATTATGTCATCGCAAAAGATGAAAACATTTGGCTGACCATTGCATAGTCACTGGACCATTTTGTGATTAAAAAGGAAAAAGTCCAACACTGCTCAGGTCCTGAGCTTTCATCCAGTGGGAAATAAAAACCCTGTCAAGTTGTTTCCTAGCTGGGTTCTCGGTGTTTTCCCTAAATAAAAACATGAAAAGGCTGAGTTAGATTCTCTGGATCAAGAAAGGAACTGGCACAGTCCTGGCTGACTTTATTTAGACACTATACTTTCCAGACAATTAAAAAGAAAAAAAAAAAAATCAACCTAATCTGGCTAAGCCACTCAAGCCAACACAAAGCAGAACATGCATTCTAAACTTAGCCTGTCTTCAATATGGGAAGCACATGTGTCCCTGAGCTGCAGGATGCCCCCCGGAGGAACTTAACTGTTTTCTTTCTCAGCGATTCCAAAACCAATCTGCAGACCCTGCTCAGAATCATTCCCAAGAGCCTTCCTGCTTTTTTACAACTGGTAAGACCGGGACTATCGCTGATCATAAAGCTTTGGACTGAATCAATGACTGTTTTAAAACCTGGCTAAGCTACTAAGTCCATGTCTCACCCCGTTGCTCTATATCTGTCTTAATTGAATGAGAAGCAACCCACAAACTTGCGGAACCACCTGCTGTCTTCTACCTGTTCTTTGGATAAAACTTAGCAGTCAGTAAAAATGAACTGAATTTAGGAACAGATACATTTCCTGCTGACCATAAGCCAACCTCCATGGAACTTCACAAGGTTGATAGTGTCTGCAAGGACCACCTGCCTGATGCCCCTCTGACCTCTTCAGAGCAGTGAGCCACGTTTTGTCTTTCCCCCAATCTCTGCTAATTTGAATTACCTGGCAGCAGGTATGAGAGCGTGGAACAAGAAGACAGCTGAGCTGCTTTCTGGCATTGAAGTGCATAGAAAACAAGAGCGTGGACGCACGTTAAACAACGGGACTTTCCCACGTGCTCCAGGTGTGCCTATCAGTATTTGCTTCTGACTTTCAGCCAGATGGGAATTAATGGAGGGGTGAGATGTGAGAGTAAGACTCAGAGAAGTATTTGACTCAAAACTCACACTTGAGAAGTTCAATGTCAGAATGCAGACAACTGATTCCAAAAGTCATCTGTCTCAATACAACAAATGGGTGGTTGGAAAGCATTTTGATAGCTGCAAGTGGTAGCATGAGTCTGTGAATCCTAGCACTGAGGCTGAGGCAGGAGGATCGCCGGAGAAAATAAAACCCGGTCTCATAAACAAAAGCACTTTAACCTTTTGGTCTTTGACACCCTTCTGGCTGTGCACGTGACTCCAAAATCCTGTTTCTTTTCCTCAGCCTAGGGTGGTCAGGATCTTCATAAAGGATAGAGCAAGAGAGACTACAAACAGCCTAAGGCATGTTCTACTTTTGCAAAAAGGCCCCCGGCACTCCTGACCTGCTGCAGGTAGCCCGCAGAGGGGCCAGGCTCACCTGACAAAGAAGAAATAGGAGTAGTCCTGAACCACCGTGTGGGAGTGACAGGAGAAGTAGCCCAGACCTGTAAGATTGAGCCTGGAGCCGGCGGGCACCTCCAGCATACTGCCCCACGCCTGGTCACACAGCATCTCCACCTCGGCTGAATAGAAGAGCCCTCCCTCTCCATCTTGGTACTGCCAGGGCAGGTAGTTGTAGAGGCCAGGCACCTCAGGGTGCAGCGCCAGCACCTTGGCATACACGATGGTCTCGGCCAGCTCTGCGCGGCAGCCCTCGCTCAGGGGTCGCCACTCCGACGGCAGCTGGCAGGCGCGCGCGGGCGCCGGACGGGCAGCGAGGCAGAGCGCAGCGAGCAGCAGCGGGAGCAGCATGCCGGCGGCTACTCTCTAGCCCGGTCTAGCCCGGGCGCATGGCCCGTCCGGGTGCCGGGGAAGGCGGGGAGCCCGCAGCGCCTGCACGCCCTGGGCGCTCGACTGCGCGAGCTCCGGGGAGCTGGGTGGTGTGGCTAGCTCTGTGGCCAGGATCACCATGCCCCGGCCTTCGCCTCTCCACGCTTAAGAAGGGTCGCAAGGACGCGACGGGACGGGCGGGGACTGGGGCGTGGACGTCGGCGGGGGCGGGGAGTCCGCTCCGCAACCAGGCCTTGCAGGGCTCCCGGAAAAGGGGACAGGCCCCGGGCGCTGGGACTCCCGGGTGGCGACGGGACGTGTGAACTGAGTCTTGACCATTTGACCCAGTCGCTTTGTGGCACACCGCTATGGGCTAGATCAGAGCTTGCCCCGTGTAAAAAGTTGGTCTCTACGCAGGTGTCCCACAGCTCCTGCTCTCAGTTTGCATGATGAGGTACTCGGTGTTAAGTCTTTACGTTTTTTTCCTGCAAGTGATTTAGAATCAAAGTGCATAGAAATCAAATCAGATTTTTGTCAGATCTGATTTTCAACTTTGTATGAAATAATCTCCACCTCTTTCCTCCTATGTCTCCCACCTCTCTTCCTCTCCCACTTTCTCCCTCTTACCTCCCCCTCCTCCCTCCTCCTCTCTATCCTTTTCTCCCCTGGACTCCTTCGCCCTGATCCCATCTTCCTCTCATCCTTCTCTATCACACACACACACACACACACACACACACACACACACACACACACACACTGATTTTTCTGTAATAATGGCCTTCAAAGAGTCCCCATAAAGATCTGAAAAGCCATTGTTCCAGGGTTGTTTTTTTAAGTTAACTGATTTATACAGCCCCAGATTCTGAAAGTCCTACACCTGGAAAGCAAATTTATCAATAAATTCTCTAGTTAGTGGGCAAAATGAAAGAGACAAAAGCCCTGAAAAGTTCTCATTCTCTGTTGCCATTACTATTCTTACTGTAATAAGAATACATCATAATTAATAAAAAATAAATCACAACAGGACTAAGGACATAGCTCAGTTAGAAGAGTACTTTCTGGGCATGCATCATTCCTGGGTTTGACTTCCCAGCACCTCATCAACTGGGCATGGGGATACACACCCAGTAGTCGGGAGGTGGAGGCAGGAAGATCAAGAGTTCAGGGCTCTTGTGGGAGGGGAGTGCAGAGGGAATTTGAATCCAGCATGGGCTACAGAAACTGTCTCAAAAGAACAGAAGAATACCTATTTGTAATACTATATTGATCATATAGTCATTTTATGGATGTTACCCACATATCATTATTATAAAGTACACATTGTATCTAATGAATTTTTAGAACAAATTCATAAGCAAATTACCCTTAAAATGGAAGGCTGAAGCATTTCATTTGGGGGGGTTGCAGGTTTGGAAGCAGGAACCTAGCTGAATTGTTCAAGGCACTAGAGAGAAGAGAGTTCCCAAGAAAACCTAGACGAGAATGTACAGAGTGGGAATGGAAAATTAAAAGCTGGGCCTCACCTCTACAAGCCCACAGATCTTCCAGGGAGTCCTGAAACTTTGGTTGGCTGGTTCCTTTTGTGAACGCTTCAGGTGGATGCAGGTTTTGGCCTGCAGCTCTTATAAACAAACCCAATCCATGCAGAAGGGACATAAAAGGAGGGAACCTGGGGGGGGGGGGGGGCTTTGGGCATTTTCAGAAAATAAAAGGGACTCCAGGCATCATTATCCAGTTGATGGACTTGGAGAGCTTCAGATGGCATGAGGGTCACATTAGCTCAGATGCTTGTCAGTGAGCCAATCGGGCTTGCATTTCACAAACCTTGTGGAAGCCCCAAAGTAGAATGAAGTGTAAGAAAGAGGCCCTTCACAGGCCATGGATGTTCACGTGTCAAGTATTCAGCCTAAGACCTCAACGAATTTCCATTTTTGAGTGAGCGAATAAGAGAGAGAGAGAGAGAGAGAGAGAGAGAGAGAGAGAGAGAGAGAGAATCTTGTTATGTAACCTCAAATGCCTGCAGGCAAGAATTTCAAGTGTGTGCCACTATGTCCGGCGAGGCCTCAACAAATACTGCAGGAAAATCTTAGTTATAGTTGAAGTAAATCCAGAGGACAGCAGTGCCAAGTATGTAGATGACAAATGGCTCTCCGCAGTTACCTGCCATGGGAAATACCAGACTTTCCCACAATGAGTGAGGAAGTGACGTCATGCCTAACATCAGAGGCGCTTATCAGTGCAGCCCCATTGTCTCACACTGGACATTGAAACTCTCATGGGGTCACCGCACGAACCTGCTCCGTCTGTCATAATGAAATGCCACAGACTGGAGGATTAACCAGTGGTGATTTATTGCTCCTAGTTCTGGGGACTAAAAGTTCAGTATCCAGATGCCAAGGCTGGTGTCTGGTAAGACCTTTGTCCCTGAGGTGTGTGTAAACAGCTATCTTGTATTCTTAGAGCAAGAGGTAGCCTTTTCTTTATGTTCTTCTGTCCTCCCCTTACAAGTTCAGTGGTCCAGGACCCCACCTTTACCAACTCATCTATTCTTATTTTCCCCCATAAAGACCCTATTTCCAAATATAGTCACAGAGGGATGGGACAGAGCTTTGCCATATGAATGGGAGTGAAGAGGGAGACAGGCAGTATAGACGGAACAGTTGTTCAACAAGTGCTCTGCAGGTTTGCTTGAGAAAGAAGGAGAGTGTGACATAATTTATATTCCTGGCGAACAGAGCAAGCATTGTCAGACCAGTGTTAAGAGTGTCTAACTATGAGCTGAGTACTGTTGTACAGAGTTTGCTTATTTTGTCTTAACTCAATTGCCAAACAACATTTCAGAATAGATATTACTATTGTCCTTGTTTTAAAAATCTTTGTGTGTTATGACTGTATACATAGTGTGTGTGTGTGTGTATGGTGTTTTATATGTATGTGTTATGTGTGTACATACATGTATGTGTGCTATGTGTGTGTTTCTGTGGTGTGTGTGTGTACATGTGTGTCTGTGTGCTATGTATGTGTTTCTGTGGTGTGTGTGGTGGTGTTTGTATGTGGTGTGTGCATGTATGTGGTCTGTGTGTGCATATGAGTGGTTTACGTGTGTGTATGTGTACTTATTCACATGAATATGAGCCTATGTGTTTGACTAAGGAAGCAAACAGATGTCTTCAAGCTTATGTAGCAGGTACTTTATTTACTGAGGCATCTTTTGAGTTCCTTGAGGGGTATTTTATTCTGTGTGACTATGTGTTAATTTACTTTTGAAGTATTAGCATTTGCTTACACATTACTAGAGATCAAACTCAGTCTCAGGTATGGGAGGCAAGGCAAGCTCTTTGCCACTAAATACCACCCATAGCCCCCAAGGAACATTTTTTAATAACATGTCATTGAGTGGACAGTGGACAGAGAAGCCGTGAGAGTTGGGCTGGTGTGAGCCAGGCTCTGTAAATCCCAGGATTTTCATCTTCTTCTTTCTGTGTAAGGAGCTATGAGGAGGAGCTAAGGCTTTTGGTGAGAAAATACATCTAGAGAGATAGACAGAGGCACAGAGAGACAGAGACCGAAGACAGAGAGAAACAGACTACAGACAGAAGGTGGAGACAGAGCATGCATGTCTCGATTTTCCCTCTAATCCCTTGTAGTGTTCCCTACTGGCCAAAGCGAACTGATACAATTCACACAGATCACATCCAGAAGTTGGGGAAGGGTGTTGAGAGCCAAGGAAAGCATCTACCATGCTTTTATCACCTCACTGAAAACCTTCAGAACAGAGGCATGACTTCAGCAGACTGTTTTGGAGAAGTTCTTCTTGCAGGAGGATCTTGAGGAAGGATCCGAAAAGCAGGACCTCCAGTGAAACACCGCATGCAAGAGTCCAGACCGCAGACTCCAGAGTCCACGTTCATCACACCATTTATCCTAAACAGGAGGGCACAGATGTGACATCTGAAGACCCTGGGTTCAACAGGATCAACAATGGCAACTTACTATACCCAAGGGGTAGGAGATACCAGGCAGACTCCCAATGTGTCTGTGTTAAGTGTACATGTCAATCTCATTCAAACTTCATAACCATTCTCAAGCCCTCCCTTGTGGTGGCTAGGATTCTAGCGCCCTTCTGTACAAAATGGAAGTGACTACATCAATAATAGGTAGAAAGAAGAGCATAAATGGGAAGCACCCTGCAACTCTAACTTAATTATACAGTACATTCTGCCAAAGATAATTGTGTGTGTACATTTGTGTTAGGGGTGACATTCATATGTGTGCAGGTGCATGTGTGCATGAAGATATGTGGAGGTCAGAGGCCAACCTCGGGTGTCTTTATTTTTTTTCAAGACAGAGTTACTCTGTAGCTTCTGGAGCCTGTCCTGCTCTGTAGACCATGTTGGCCTCAAACTCAGAGATCCACTGTTCTCTGCCTCCTGAGTACTGGGATTAAAGGCATGTGCCAGCATGCCTCGGGTGTCATTCTTTGAGGTACAGCCCACTCTGTTCTTTAGATACAGTCTCCCTCTGACCTGAAAGTCACCAAACAGGCTAAGTTGTTTGCAAGGCAAGCACTGTCTTCAGTCCCAAAATTCTTGTAACAAAATAATCATTTGGCCAAGATTTAAATGTATAAAGACTTCATATAAAAATCAAAATTTCTGACTTTTGATAAAAAGGAAAAAAAATGTAAATAAGATTCATATTACCACATGATAATGGGTGATTTTGTGTGTCAACTTGTCATAATCCAGAGTCATCAGAGGAAGGAGCCTCAGCTAAGAAAATGCCTCCTTGAAATCCAGCTGTAAGGCATTTTTTCATTTAGTGATCAATGGGGGAGGACCCAGGCCATAATGGGTAGTGTCATCCCTGGGCTGCTGGTCCTGGGTTCTATAAGAAAGCAAGCTGAGCAAGCCACAGGAAGTAAGACAGTGAGCAGCACCCCTCCATGGCTTCTGCATCAGCTCCTGCCTCCTGGATCCTGCCCTGTTTGAGTTCCTGTCCTGACTTCCTT